GATCGAGCTACCAGGTTGCTTTAGTTTTGTGCCGATGACTAACTTCGATAAAAATTGGCTCGCATATATGACCATATTTCGCCTAGTTCAGGCTGAACGAGTTGGCGTTTTCAAGGCTAGGAATGACTTGAATTACTACATGGCAATTTGTACAACTAATATTATTTTGGGACACTATTATATTTTTATCGCAAGAACCCCATTATACGGCGATATAGGGGATGGTACTACAACTATGTGGAGTAATTTCCGCGCCCCTAAGTGCTGGTTACTGGCGGGGACATTCCGCGCAGACCATACGCTACACACGGCACGCGGCGTACAATGACGTGATATGAGAGTGCTTTTCTCAACCTCGTTTCCGCATGACCCCTAACGCGTTACCACATGCACTCCAACTACGCTCTAGTTTACCTATCAGGAGGCAGATCGTCCTTCACAGTCTTCGTTTGACCAAAGTCGCCAGACCGCCAAGCCCAGGCCAATCGAACCGAACAACCGACCACGCTCACCACTGCCTCATGTAGGATCGGTCAACCAACCACGCCGCTCCCTGACGGTCTCGGTAGTAGGTCCGATCCGAATCTTTGGGCGCTAGCACCGTCATTTGCATTGGAACTACGTGTGGTTCCCAGAGGCCGCCGGACAGCACATCTTCTACCACCGGCTATGTCCAGCCGGCCATTGCCTCGATGGAGGGTCGCATTGCGGGGTTTGACGGTGTGTGGTTGAGATCTTCATGCGTCAATGGCCCAGGAAGAGAACCAACTCTCGAAGGAGCCTTGAAACGAAGCTACACTAGCGATACAAGCCGCCCGCTTTACATGTGCTAAAATATGCATCTTAGTTTGACTAGCAGAGGGTATCTCCGTTGAATACAGTGGTTTGGATATCGTGCAGCTCGAACTAGTATCTGACTAGGTACCCTCCGCTCATCTAGTATTGCACGACCTGACGATCATGAGTAGTGTCCGCCACTTTCCCCTATATTTCACAAATTCAATACCCACCTGATGAGCGCCGGCGTTAAACAACGTGTGCGCCATATCTGCCCAGTTCACGCCTGCGCGCTCCGTTATCGCCACCGGTTAACGCAGCTCCCACCACCGGTTAACACCAGCCGGCCTTCTTTCCCTTGTTACCCATAAATACACACCCTTACCTACTTTAGCTAAGCTCTGATTCTCCCGGCGATTGATCTCCAAGCTCTTGATCGGTCGCTGAACTGAACAAGTCACCCACGTTTGTGGCTGTACGGTGTGGGGTTGACTATTCAAAAATCGCGCCTGGAGCTCACGAATCGGAAGCACCCGTCGAATAGAAGCGCCGGACAGAAAATAATGGGGGCCATCCTATAACTGTAGGTGTACCCAGGTTATAGATAACATACTTGGCGAACACGCGGTCGCGAACGTTTACTGTCACATTAATGGACTATATCGGAAGTTGAATGCCACGAGTTTGGTCCAGTAGTTTGATAGCAACCCCTATTCTTCCGCTATGAATATTGTAACCCCACTTCGTGTGATTGTTATCCTCGATCACGAACGACTAGCGAGTTGCTTCATCGGGTGGATATGAACCTGGGATTAGGGCACCTGGTCAGAACTCTCGCCACCCGGAGTTTTTCCACTCCCTTTTTCAGATAGATTCGCCCTCATCTATGCGCCGATTTTGCACCTTGGATCTTGCTCTCACGGTAGTTGCTTCGTGCATGATGAATTTTAAACTCTAGCCTACATGTTTGGCCAAGAAGCAAGCGCCATTTCAGACATTTCGCAAACAGCAGCAAGCATAGATGAGTTGACGGGAACTGGCTGGACCTCCATAAGGGCAATCAACAAGGATGAAGCGAGCATGGGCTGAAATCACAATGATCGACTTGGTCATTCGCCCGGCCTTACATACTTATTCGTACTGTTCGCTGCCTCTCTATTTCGTTCAGCTGAAGGATATTTTCAAAGCCGAGAGTAATATTTACGTCGCATCACGTACTATCCCAGTGCCTCCGAAATCTGCCCTGTTGCCACCCTACCTATTAGGCTCGGTTCCACAAAGTCGGTCACACAACCCTCCCCTCCAATGCGGATTTATTACCCAAGAGAGAAGCAAATCAGCGGATATCCATCACATTGCAAGACGAAATCCGGGGGTATATTGCATGAGCTAGTAAAATACATCTTGTGAATGTGTTCCGTGTAGTATGCTGATCCCATCTTGTAAGTACCCCGATGAATGCCCTTTGTAACCCAGTATGAACCCAAAACTCAAAGCGAAATACGAAAGCTAGCAGATATGCAAAGTGCTATGCAGGGACCTATCCTGAAATAGAGTAGCCCGACTCGTCGCCTAGACCGGTGAGTCTGTCCTCTCGCGACGCACGCTGGGGGCTCTACACATCAAAGAATGAGTGAAAAGTCCATGACAAGAGAACATGTCACTCACGGCTTGTTGAAGATGCTCTCGGGGTCAGTGTACAAAAATGCGTCGTAGATAGCCGTGCCAGCGAGAGCACCCGTAATCGGACCAATCTAATCAATCGAGTCAGACACGCAAGATTCAGGATGAGCATAGGAGACGCACGATTGGGGTGTATAGCCAGTACTGGCTGCGGAAGTTCCACACTATCAACAGAAAAGTGAGACGAGAACAGAATTGCGACTCGTAATTAAACCCACCTTCGCGGCCGTATCCAGCCATCCAGCACATCAGACGCGGCCCTAGATCACGAGCAGGGTTGATCGCGTAGCTATAGGGTGTTATTCGTGCAAATCCCAGGTCCGATATACTACGGTTACTTACGACGACTGCATCCCAAAGCACGTGGCGATACCAAATACCGTGATGAACAACGCAAGCGGGAGCAGCCCAGCCGGTGGTGATGCGTTTCGCTTGTCCGTTGCAGCACAAATTACGATGAGCAATAGGGCTGTGGCCAAGAACTCTTGGAAGAAGCTTTGCACTATCGCAAAGTCTCAATAAAAAATCGACAAGGCGCATATAGCAGAGCACACACCATTGGTCATGTAGTGCAGCTACAGGACAGAGCCGCTAATCAGTAAATGTTACACATCAAGAAGCCGGTGCATGGACGTACCGGGAACGTGGCAAAGAGTCCCGCAGTGCCAGGAACAGACCGCTTACCGGGACCCCCTTCATACAAGTCGATAGCTCGATGGTAGTTGGCAAACACCAGACCGGCGCCAGTCAATCCTCCGAGGATCTGCGCCAGAATGAAAGCGGGGACCTTTTTCCACGGGAAGCCCCGGAAAGTAGCCATGGCAAGGGTCACTGCGGGGTTGATGTGCCCACCCTATCCGGCGTTGAGATGAAATGCGGGCTCCGATAGAAAGGGTAGACTTACTGAGATCCCACCAGATACCCAGACGCCGAGTGCCACGCCAATGCCCCAACCAAATGCCGAAGATATGTAGTCCTGTGAAATGTGATCAGGGATAATCCTATGAATCAGATGATATCAGATAATACTCACACCCTTAGGGCTGGCTGCGACGGCGGTACTATGAGAAAGGGTGACCTGGCACGCAGCGCCGCAACCAAACATGACGAGTACCACCGTCTTGAGTGGGAAGATTAGCATGAAAAAATTCCAGCGGAACTGAGATCACATACCCCAAGGAACTCGGCGAATGGCTCCCTTAGGTTGTGCCTGTAAGAACGCAAATGAAGTTAGCAAAAGGCCACGAGCTTGAAACGAAGAAGAACGAACCGAATTTTGGACCATTTGTTGGGGAAATCGGCATCACTGCCTGGTGCGGCGCCAGCGACAGGATCTGGTCTCAAGGCCGGGGAGGTTGACTCGGCCTCCTGAGAAGGCTCGATCCCAAATTTTTCGTAGGTCTCGGTATTGCCACGTAGGGTCTCGGCGCTGAACGTACTCATGCCTGGAGAGTCGGGACCTCGGGGGACCCCTTGGACGGGCGACGGCGTTGGCCGGGCAGTGGGAGAGAGGAGATGAGACATGGTCAACGGGGTGTGAGAAAACTCAAGGTGGGTCCCGTGTGGGAGGGGAGGGTTGAAGAAAGCTGTTGTTGTAAAGAGACTCGCGCAGCGGGCTGGGATTTTATACAGGGTACCCAAGGATGAGAACGGCGAGATAAAAAGATCTGATACAGTTCCCAAAACGGTAAGTGCGATCACGTCAGGGTTAAACCTGGGGCGACGCAACCCGGTGGTTTCTGTCCGGCCTGGAATAAGCTTTTCGCAGGGCCAGGCCGCCGCGCTAAAAATTCGTTGAAGTTCCGAATAAGTACAGCCCACATCACGCGGGCGTGGACGACACATACCAGCGTTGGGTTCCACTCATGGCGCAAAATAAACCCTTTTTTCATAAATCAGGCGCGGCGGCACCTGGCTTCCTCAGCAGAGTTACGGTGGGGGCGGAATGTTGCTAGGCACAGTTTCAAAGTTGCCCATTCCAGCGGTGCAAAAGTTTTCGAGCCAGGTTGCCCTCGATCATCAATGAAAGTATGGGCAATACAGATCATCGATCGGCTTGTCGCGCAGATGTGCTAGGGCGTCATTTTTCTGGTTGCCGCCCACGGGATGATCCGCAACCACAGGAGGTAAAAAGCAGAAATGGGCCGTAGCGGCGAGTTCCAATCTGGTGTGATGGATGAGAAAGAGCCACTCGAAAAGGTGAACAGCCTGCCAGCAAAACAGGCACAGAGGCGCTGAGGCTTGACGTTTAGGAGGCGCACCATATTGTTGGAGGCACGGTGGTGGTCGGCAGTTGAACAAGGCCATCACGTGGCAAATAGCTCGTTAATTCTTCAATTCAAAAGATGTTCCACCATTGGTACGTGTTCAACACATGGTTGATCTTGGTGAGGCTGGATTTCTTTCCACTCGTGAGTTTCGACGCCAAGCGCGACAATCGGTATTGCGTTACAGTTGCTAAATTTTGATGTCGCATTGAACTGCAATCAACTGTTGATGCAAGACAGCCGCTTGGACTCACAAATAAATAAATAAAAATATGGTCAATATCGGTCTCGAACCGATGGCCTCCGAGTTATTAGCTCGGCGCTCTAACCAACTGAGCTAATCAACCGCACATCGGTTGATCCCGGACGAATTTCAAATCGCCAGCCAAGGTCGAACGGAGAAAAGCTCAACAATAATACCAGCGCCAATGTTTAGGTTGAATTCAGCCCACTCATTTTGGCCAGTTGTAAACATGTGATTGCTGGTTTGGACGGTGATCTCTGGTTGCGCTTGAACCCCCATTCCCTGCATCAGGGTTCGCTGATGGCGCCAAATTGCTCCTACGACGACGACATGGTGACCAGTGCTTTCCTGGCATATTTCTACAAAAGTACACTCTGCTTCGGTGCGCAGCTTCAACTGTCTGACTCGATGACCGGGTTGTCACTATGGGTCACGCACCATTCGTTAGCCGTACCCGCATCCCAACGCATGCACATCCTTCGCGTACGCGGATAAGTACATTGCCACCGTCTCTCGATGGCCCCCGTCAAACTTTGATGTTTTTCGGGGACACGAGGGGTACGCTAAACTAACCCCGACCGTACCCTCAGCTGAACGACTGGGGTGCGCCTACATGCACTAGCCGAAAGATCGCGCAGCGCATGTCTGTAGACTTGGTACAGACAATACTTCTTGATAGCATAGAGAAACCGTCGAACCCCGACGCGATGGAGATGTGTGACTCGTTTGACATCTGCTGCTGGAAACCAATGAATGCTGCTGCTCCCGCCCATCTGTGCTGCCCAATGGGCCCCCGCCTTCAAAAACAGCTCGAAACGAGCATACACTGTCAATTATAAACTCGGAAAAGAGCTCACTCTTTCTAGGGGGGGATTGGGGCTTTTCACCTCAGCAGAACGCCCAGAAAATATTGTGAAAATGTTGTCAGACAAAGGAACTTAGTAGCGATTTTCTCAGCCTTTCCACTGTGCTTTCCACGGGGAGAACCCCTAAACCCCCTACAGTTACTGCGCCGGGACCGCGTGACACTCCATTGTCACGAACCACCCGGTTAGTTCTCGGCTCGGGAGACCAATATTAGCAGGAACTACTATTGGTTTCGTGGGCGCCTTATCGCATTCCGCCCTCGGTTGGACGACGGCAGGATCTCGAGCATGAGACCGTGTAGATGGTCAACAACCTGTGAAAATATGGTCGCATTACCGAGACTGGCGCCGTCTTTTCTGGTCGGCACATACCCGCCACTGCAGTTGACGATGATACAGTGCACCGCTCGCACCTGCTATTTTTTCGTGACGTGACGACTCCCTCGCGACACACCTTCTGAGCCCACGGCTGACGGTGGACAAAACACCGAGGGCGCAGACCCCTGCTTTGAAACAAATTGCTTCCGCTTCGGTTTAGGCTCCCCAAACAACTCATTCGAAAAATTATGTCTCTGTTCGGCCACGACTCCTACCGGAACTTCCATGCACGTCTCTCGGGCTTTCGGTGAAACGTATGCTGCATATCCCCGTGTCGGGAACCATGGATTACCGCGCCATATCGACGGGCACTGTGCCAGGGACCGGGTGTATTGTGTACCTCCAGCGGAGCGCGCCGTTCAACGTTTATATATATATTTCCGGTAATTCATTATTTATTCTGTTTTCGCAGAATGGAATGGTGGTTGTTGGCCGACGATCCGCATACAGGCTGCGTGTGGTGCTTACAATTCATTGACCCTTCAGAGACCATGAGCCACCTCCTGAAACAGATAGAATATGACTCAGAGCGGCATATTCGTCCGGGTCGAGCAAAGTGGGACAAGTATCACTGGTGGTAAACAAGTTGGATAGCCTCCGACCGACTTTTTAAGATCAAATCAACTCTGATTTTAGCTTTTAAGAAAAAAGGTCCTTGCTTGACGCCGAGTGCGGGTGTCACAGTGTAACAATACTTTGTATATGAGATATACGGGTTGATTATAATCCAGTGAATGGGGTTGGATATTCTCATTTTTCAAGTCAATTGAGCCTGGATATGTGACTCCCTCGCTCCACGCACTCTGCTTCCAGTACGGCGTTCGATCCGAAGAGTAAACTATATACGGCATATTTGTGTGGCCGCCTATCTAGTTGTATTACGGGTTCAAACTCATATGTTCACATTTGCATGTACGAGGATTCCTTTTGCGCTATTCTCAAAGTGACAATTTGTTGTCCAATGTTTGCGGGTGTTGGGCTCTTTGTTTGTGGTTCGTCCGCGCGTTCTGCAAATTATGGCCCAAACCACGACACGGAGACTCGCGGCTTGAAGGCATGTTCGCGGCTTGAAGGCATGTTTTTGAAAGGTGCGTTTTACGTGGCTTCCAAGCATTGCTAACCTGGCTGGGCACTCGGGCCGCTACGACAGAACCGCTGTGCCTCGCAAGTTATAATGAATCTTTGTCTCGCAATAAGGGTACAGTTTCGGGCAATATATTTGTACTAGGGATACTTTGTAGGCGGTCTCGAACTCAGCCATCCTATGGTATGAATCGAACCACGTACGGCGGGAGTCTCTTTGACCAGCCCCCATGCCATCGGTGATCCAGGTGGGTGAGGTTGGTGGTATGAGGTTCATCCAGTTTGCAGCGAGGGCGCCGTCTGGGGCGAACGTGGCGCGGGCGGTACCAATAGTCGAGCTAGCGAAAAAGTCAACGTGTTTTGAGCCCATCAAGGTAAATATACATTTGCCGGGTGTACCACGCGGTCCGTTCCCGTGTTCAGCCGAGGCAAGTTAAATGATAGGGTGGTACGGGTACTTCCAAAGTTCACACCTCTGCCCAATTTCCAATTTCAAACACTAGCGCAAACCACGTCTCGTGTATTGTTTTGGAACGGTTCTTGACATGTCACGGAGTGCGCTAGTCTGACAAGATCGAAAATAGCCCTCAAATCTGCTTGGCGGCTCGTTTGTTTCAGGTGATCAAGTGGTAATAATATCCGGGCATCTCTGCAGTTGCACGTGTAGCGTAGCCTGAGGGAAACGGTGCAGCTTTTGAATAGACCCCAAAAATGGTAGTGGCGATAGGAGGTTCGTCCAGAAGGGAAAACAGTCTGCCCGTATTTTGGTGGCACGGATCACAGGTGACCAAGGTATCGAGGCGTGCGAGGGTGGGGACCGGGCTTGAGACGCACGAGAATCATACTAGAGAGCAACAGAGCGAGAAGAGACTAATGCGAGTTTCGGAGAGCTGCTCGAATGACGACCGAGCGTCCCGGACTGCAAGCTGGAACTATGTTGCCATCGGTTTCAGAGTCTCTAGGTTGGTGGCAGATCCGCGAGCGGTTCCTCATCCCCACCCATATTCGCCATTCGCTCGGCAGAAGGAGTGAGCTACACCGTTCGATACCGCCAGCCCTGGCCGTGAGTGATGCGTATTGCAGAGCGTACAGGCGAGTGAGGTGCGGCCAGGCATGCGATTTTTATTTGCGTCGGGGTGTGCGGTCGACCTAAGCTTGTGGTTGGTATGGGAGCTGGAAATTGGCAGTAGCGTGATGGCCGACGAGCCAAGGTGGGCGCCGTCACTGTGCGACGCGTCACCAGGATCAACATATCAGGATCGTACGACCTTACCATTCCACAAACTAGGGTGCATGAGCCACGCGCCACACCCCAGATCGACACCACATCAATAAATGACGACATGAAGATCAGGGTCCTATGCGGGCCGGCGGAACGAGGCACCGCAACGGCGGTTTAGCGTCGCGACATACCAACCTCAATGTAGCCTAAATACAATAATTACGTTATGCATGTGGTGCGAAACGAAAGGCGTTCAGATCGACGCTCACCGTGGACCCGAGGCAAGCATGCGGCTACGTCGACGCAGCTTCAACTTTCGTTGCCGTCGCTATGAATTGGCTCCCACTGCTCCACTGAGTCGTACATTTGGAATTGCCAACCTTGGTCTCTCGTCGCTGGACCTGTGGTCACAAAAAGGAATGGTTGTGAAATCAGAGGCGACGGATCGGGACGGGTGATAAGTCCTCCAGCGCGCACCCAGAGACCCCAATGGCAGAACCCTGCCTGGAACGTGACTGCGCAGGGTACTTCAACAGAATCGCCTCGAAAAATCCACATTAAGCCAAGCTCACACCCCAAGTGGATCATTATTCAACTGACGACGCAGACCAAGCCGTGTTCATAACCCAAGTTTGGCGAGTGGGTAGTATTAAGGGGAGTGGCAGGCGAGCCAGGCAATGGTAACGGCACCGATACAGAGGAAGCGAAGGCTGGCTTGGTTCAGATACTTGAGCGCCCAGGGATGTAGAAGGGTTTGCCAAACGCCTGAGGCACCCTGTGAGCAAGTCGAGTCAAAATACGCCAATAAGGCGAGCGGTCCCACTTACCCGCGTTCATGATCGGATGGTCCCACCCTAGTTCCAACGACCGTGTTCCATTCGAACCAAAGCCCCGGCCATCGAAATAACTATAACCCATTTTGTCGCCTGCCACGCAGTGGAATCGCCGTGGTAGCATCGAAACGTGATTTTCGGTCCTAGGGGAGAGGCGGTTGCTGGAGGCAGTCGAGAAAGAGAGGATGTACACAACCGTCGACGTGCTTCGTAAAATGTCAGGAAAACTTGGGCAGCGCAGCGATGTGTGCTCGGAGAAGACACGATCAGGAGAGTAGGACCGACCACCGACTGAGGGGCGGTGGACGCGTCGATGTAACCGCCAGGAAAGGCGTTGAATAAACGCCCGTTGTAGTGCCACTTTCTGGGCAGGTGAGCTATTGGCGGAGAGCTCTTGAAGGGCCCACGATGGGATTCCAGTTTAGATGGGAACACACGCTGCGAAATTTGTTCTCGCACCTATCTCGACGTCGACAACAACGCTCTCAGCTCCACCCCCATAGAAGAAAGAATAGATATGTTCTGCTCACGTTCACCGCACTTCCCGGACCACTCCCTGCTAACGGCGGTGTGCAGCTGACTCGGCGTTGCCGTTTAGTATCGACTTTTAATGGGCCGTCGAGTACGCTCGGGAGTGGCTATCATAGAGGTCGGGCAGAGCTCGCAACGATGAACGATGATGGAGTCCAGGGTTCGGCGCTTGTTGCGCTTGATCAGGGTC